ACACATTTGATCCCAAGTTTTCTGGTAAGACCTCATCGCCTACCAAGAATGACGTCACGAAGGTTGATGAAAGTCGTGGCGCACTTGCACCACATGCAGCCAGTATTCTCATGAAGCTACTGTATGCAGCCAGAATTGCACGCTTTGAGTTACTTCGATCCATTACCATGTTGGCCCGCAACGTCAACAAATGGACTCCAAATGAAGATGCGAAACTACATCGCCTAATTTGCGATGTTAACAGCACATTAGACAAGCGCATGACCGGTTGGGTTGGCGACTCTATTGCAGATCTATCGATTGCGATATTCGCAGATGCCGACTTTGCAGGCTGTGGTGTGACATATGAGATCGATTTGTGGATGCCACGTGCGTGTTCAGGGCAAGCGTGCTCGATTTCCCATTGCTGGCGGTAGTAAACGTCAAGGATGTGTTAGTCACTCCACTCCCGAAGCCGAGATTGTGGCTGCGGACATGACTCTCCGCAATTATGGTATTCCATCCACGGTTTTTGGCAGATTCTCACTGGCAAAAGCCTCGGAGATACCCTTCCATGATGACAACCAAGGTATGATTGGCGTCGCAAGAGCCGGGCGGAATCCTAGAATTTCTAGGCATGCGACATTTATAACGCAGTCATGGTATATAGTATATCCATCATGTCTCTACACGAACATTTTCAGAAGGACCGTTTTGTCTTACTCTATGAGATTTCCCACAAGGTGTGTGCTGACATTCATACAAAGGCCTACAAACGCCTTTCGAACACCTCTCGCTTGGCGCCGGGCTTTGAGTTCTCAAGAGCTATAGCAGACACGGTCTCTCCATCAGTCGATCACAAGAAAATCGACCACCAAATATTTCAGACCCGAACCGACGCACAGACTCCGGCGCTACCGAGAGCCGTGTTTGTCAAAGGGATGACAGGGCGGGAAGGAAGGCGTCCAAGACCTTCCGAGTGCGGATTGTATTTACGTCGTCGAGGTTCCTGTCTACTATCATCGCTTTCCACCAGGACGATATCCAGACAGCAATGACCTGCGGAATGACCTTGACGGGCGTGAGTGTATGTTTGGCCAAAGCCACCAGGCCTGCCAGGAGTGCTCTGGTCTTGTTTTGTGGGTTGCTTGGTATGCCCGTGATAGCCCCCAGTCTTTGGAGTTGTCCCAACGTCATTGTGTGCGCACAAAGGCCAAAGACCCAGACCTGGCTGCGTTGGTCGTAGGTTGAGGGCGTGGCGTCCAGGGTGAAGGCCCATCCCTGATGCTGGTGCGGCGCCAACACTTCAAGATCTTGCCATGTGCTGTGGCCACGGTAAGGATGCTGGACTTGTTTATGCTCTTGGGGTTCAAGTGGTATCCAGCCCACATTCCAGAGTGGCTCTTCATCATGGTGCGTGATCCTCTCAGCCCACTCAGGTGGCATGGGTTTGTGTCCTTGGCCTTGGTGCCACTTGCGCAGCCATAGGATGTGCTTCGGGGTAGCTGGTACGCTACAGATGGGACACTTCTTGGCTTGTCCATTGTCTGGAAATTGAACCGCAGAAGCACCTGGGTACTTGTCAATGGTACATGGAATCGAGCCAAGACGAAAGCATCACCCCTATACAACAGGCTCAACGTTTTGACCAATGGGTCGACAACGCTCCATGTCGTTACCAACGATCATGAGTGAAAAAGAAGCCTGTGATTCCAAAACGGAAAGAGCATAACTATGTGTATGCAAGCATGGGGTTTAAGCATATTTTCACAGGACAACGTGTTTGTGCCACAGTCGGTTCAGTACTTGGTGAATGAGACGCCTGTTGGACGCAAACCAGGCTGATAAATACAGCTATGGTGCAACTGTTTACAAACCTACAACTACGAAGAAGCAGCCACAGCCAAGTCCCTCCCGTTATCAGAGGCAGCGTCTGCTAGCCACCAACAACGCCAAGAAGGTCAACGTCAAAAGCCCAAAGGAAAAGCGAAAGGAAAATACAAAGGTGGCAGAAGTTCCAAAGGGAACCAAGCCTCATGGCAGAGAGTTGACTAGAATCCCCGAAGCTGGAACACATGGGACAACGAGCAGTGGACCAATCCACGCATCAGGGACAATGTCAGAACCTGGGGTGACTATGATTGGGAAGAGGAAGAATATGAAGACGATGCCGGACGGTAAAGTCACAATGCAACTCGGACTATCGAAGATCTAATTACTGACAAAATCCCGAGAGTGGCTAATTTGACTAACCTTTTTACAATGCATAGGGGCAGCCATTAGGTCTACTCACACCTTTTATATGTCAAGTCCGCTTGGTTCGTTAGTGCTGGTTAGTATAGAGTCCGATCTCGGCCTTGCGGCGTCAATTCGAAGCCTGCTGCCTACAACACTTACCCTTGAATTTTGGCTATGTGTACCTCAAGCTTAAAGCGTCAGATACATGGGGGGTGTCAATGGAAGTGCAGCAACAGGCCATACTATATGTATAGCTTATACATGCTGTGTTACGACTGGACCTTTGGCTCAAGGCCCCCGTGAGCGGAAAAGAGACGCGTTGTGCTTTTGGAAGTTCATGGATTTAGGATAGTTCTGGTACCTTCGCGATTTCAGGATTAATTTCCAGTCGCGCTATGTGTATTAAAACAACATTAAAACCATTTAACGTCGATTAAACTATGTTTACGTTTTAACAGCAAAAATGATGTAAAAAACTCTATTTAAATTTACCACCGTTGTCTCAAAGCAAATGCAAATTAAGGTCCACTAATAAAATGTATACTTATTAAACCAGCAATTCCAAAGTATATGCGCATGAATTGAAAGAATTTTTTCTATAGTTTCAACCCAGCAAGTTGAATTTAGTTTGTTATTTCTCAACCAAAAATGGTCGTAAACATGAAGCACGTTTAATGTAAGTGAGTACTAGCTAACATTATGTTAAATTTCTCAACAACAAAGTGAAAATAAGATCCAACGCAACAATTTGTTTTATAGAAATATAAAGCAGCTTCAGCGTATATAAACATGAAATGAGCTATCTAAGAGTACATCAAAACAATTCAAGACATTACATTTAACCAAAGTTGAATTGACAGTATACGAAGTCTATTTGAGAAGTGAACATAAATCTCAACAATATGGAGTTAACAGCAAAATCTGCATATATAGATATGAATTGAGCAATTTAAGAGTAACATAAAACAAACAAAAGCAATACATTTGACCAACATTGAATTGAACGTAGATTCACTCTGTTGGAAGACATATCAGTATCCTTAAAAGGGTTCTATGTTAGAAGAGTTCAAAAAGCAAAACATTCGCCGTTTAATGAAAATCAATTAGGGCTAAATTAGTTTTATTGTGAAAACAAAAATTCAAAACCAACAAAATTGTGAGGAAAGCTTGGGGGAAGGAGTGGGGTCCAGGAAACTATATACCATCAAAACAAAGAAATCCGGGGAAGGAGGGGGTCCAGTATGGTCCAGCCAAGAGTCTCTGAGCATTGTTTTTTGTTTTTTCCAAAAACTAAAACACTCTTTTGGAGACTTCACAGAGTGGGAAGAGTAAATTACGAAAGCCAGCCTTCGTAGAAGGCGCCAGCTGAGTTGTGCTTGGCGAACGAAGTGAGTAGTTAGGGGGTCTGGGGGGGGGTGGCCCGCAAAAGGTACACGTAAACTCGGCACATGCTGGGGGAGGAGGGTGCATCGAGGGAAGGTTTTTTGAGGTTGTGTTGGAGGTGATTTTTGAGGGGTGGTGATGCAAGAAATGCAATTTGCATCATTTGCATCATCTGAATGGAAAGGTGTAGTTGGCACCTTGCCAGGTATAGATACCCGGTATAGTACTTCAAGTTCCCTTTCCGGCGACCGCTCGATAACCTCTACACACGCACAGCAATCCACAGCTTTGAAGCCTCATGCGCGCGATACCTGGGAACAGAATTGTAGCTACCCTGGGTCCGTATAAATGCTATGTTGCTATACCTCTTACACACCTATACAAGTTCAAAGCGCGAATGAGACTTCAAAGCTGTGGTTTGCTGGGCATGTGTGGCTCGAGAAAGATATACGTAAACTCTGGGAGGTGATGCTTTGATGCTTTTGGTGCGGGTGGTGACGCACTCGCCAACTAGAACATATACCCTTCAATAGGAACTCGAACAGCTCAAACCCAGAAGATTCTGAAAATGGCCTGGCTCCCTATATGAACCCTGGGAAGACTGGGAAGCGAAGAGGTGGAAACGGCTGGGAGGTCTTGAGCTTTTAAGTAAACAAAAGGCCACATTCAAGCAGCAGAAGGACAATGTGCATCCTTTGCTCTCGCTTCGCAGACCTTCATTTTTAAGGTGGCCTGAACAGAGTGTTTTAGGGCAGCAAACCCTGGTCTCAGGCCACCTTGAATTTAGCTTGAAAAACTGTCTGTTTTAACAAAAGCCTTGTCGCAGAGACACCTCAGGACCCTTGCTTCGCATATCTTCATTTTTGAGGTGGCCTGAACATATAGTTTCGGGCGCGAGCCTCTGGTCCCAGGCCACCTCGAATTTTGCTCTAAAAACTTTCTACTTGAACGAATGCACTTCCAATCATATGACAATCAGTCGTATGTTCAACCAGGTGCAAGATGAGCTGTGCTTCGGCGCGCAGTTGTCGAGAAAGGGAAGCGCTGGCTTTCGCTTTGCAGCTTCTCAGGTGTTAAAGCCAAAAAAATTAAAAGGCAAATTCTGCATACATTCAACACAGTTTTGGTACTTTGTAAGGAAAACCAACATGCCCAAACTGTTTTCAATGTATGTATACTAAATATTCCTGTTAAAGCAATAGCATTACAATAGTCAGCAGATAGAGTATCAGCACGAAACACTGTAAGACAGAGTGTTTTCACAGAAGAGGTAGGGACTGGGAGGTTATTTATATATATATATATTTATTACATAAAAACTTATATATACAGAAAAACATTGTATAGCGCATTACATACCACTGTTCAAATGATGCCACATGATTCCAGCGCATCTTGAGGCCATGGGTAAATTGCTACGGACGCAGATGCAATTGGGGCGACCACGAGAGGAGGCACACGGTGAAGCACTGTGCTAAGCCTGAAGCTCAAGCGAAGTGAACATTTTTGAGTCAGTTCTCTTGAGCGACTTCGTTTAGAAGGTTTTCCGTGAAAAGGTGCGCTTTCTGTATACACACACACACACCACTCCTTGCTAGTAGGTAGTGATGTCGAAGATCTACGGCGAGTATTGTAGCCTGAAATAAATTTTCCTGGTTCTCAGAACTGAGTTGTCCCACCGCAGGGCGCAGACCTTGCTGGGAGCCGCAGTCTGGCCGTGGGTGGACCATTGTCCCATGAGTTGCGTCTTTTTTGTCCAAATTTCATCAAGCCTCTTTCCGCACCCCAGCATCGTAGCAACAACCGCATGGAACATCGTACCAACAACCGTAGCTTCTGGCTGTTCACCCGTGGAATGTGGTGGCATTTGTATCCTGTGTTTTCACGTTGTGCTCGATTGAGTGCTCAGGATGGTCGCAGCCCCGTGTACCAGCCTCGGTGCAAGCTGTGGATTCCATGACCAGTCTTCCATGACGTGAAACACACTGCCAGACTGTTGAGCATGTTTTTTTCACTTGATTCAGGGTAGAGTGCGCTTGACTTTCTTTACCTTCTAGTTGCTAGATGTTACTAGGAGATCTCCGATCAGTGCCAAGTTTCTTTGCATGACTCATGACTTACGAGACACTGCTATTTCGCACAGTGCTGAAACCGCGAAGAAAGCATTCGGGTGGGGTGGACTGCCGGGGGTCTCATGTGTTACACAAGACCGTCCACAAAGCATCTACTCTATCCCTCCGCTGATTTTCGGGACATTAAGTCAAGACTCTCAAGTACTGTGCATCAAGAAACAGCAGTGAGTGTAGGTGTGGTTGATGGGCTGAATCTTTTGCAACTTTGCTGTGCTGAGACTATCGCCCTCGCGCATGACGGACTCGGATGTTGCAACACAAGAACAGGCCATGAAAGGTGCTCCGGCATGCTGGGGCCAGACTCTTCACGGTTGTGAGAGGGCGGGGGCAGTGTCAGAAGCAGAAATTGGAGGCAGCTCAGGAACTGGACATTGACAGGACTCGTTGGACCTTGCCTGGCTTCAATGAACTCTTCGGCACTGGGCTAGTTGCTAGATTCTGCAGAGCTTTGCTTGATACTTGTAGTGGATGAGAGGGCTTTGCAGGATGACCCATCAAAGCATTCAAAGCAGGTTAGAAGGGACAGGGGACACCACACTGTCAGATAAGTGATTGTACTTGGGAGAATCACTTTTGCCCGAATTCTGCGCAGGTGCTTTGCATACCCTTTTTCGATGCTTTGGCAAGTGAGTTCTACCAGTGGGTGGTGCTTTCCGGTTCTTTCAAAACTACAAGTGTCACCGTCTCCGTGGCCTCAGCTACATGTGAAGCATCGTGAAACATTGTACAAGAAAGACAAGATTATATAAAGCAGAATCTCTTGTAACTGCCGCATTTCTGATTCCTCTTCCAGTCTTTATTGAAGAGCTAATTCTGCTGTCTTCAATTCGCCTCATTTGGCCAGCTGGCTATCCCACCGTAGCCCTCAAAGAGCGGCTGCAACGAGCTTTTGCCCACTTTTGTGGTGAGCAGAAGACACCTAGTGGCGTCGGTAGACGTGATAGATGGGTCGTAGTCAAGAGGCTTTTCGGATAGCAACCCGGGCGCCAAAAGCACGTGACTCAAAAACAGGAACTGGTTGCTACTTTGCTTGTGTTCAAATGACATGACGTCATTTTGGCGAGCATTGAATATGGAGAAGGATGTTCATTTCGAAACTTGATGCTCATCCCTTTTGCTGGAATGCTTGGATGTTTTGGAATCCGCTTTGCGCAGGTGTACTGCATCTTCATCGTTTGGTCCCGGTGCGAGCAGTTGAAGGCACCATTTCGCAGCAAGGTCACAAGGTCAACACACACTCACTTTGCGGCAAAGGTGGGCAGCGCACATGGTGTGCAGTTTCGACACGAGGGGGGCTTAGGGCGGGGGTAGGCCGGCTTGAGGAGCTAGTAGTACGGGGTAGCTACTAAGCTTTAAGTAGCTAGTTAGGTAGGACACAGAAGGGCTCGGGTTTTTTGGTTCGTTGATTGTTAGGATATGACTTAGAGCATCGGGTTGCCATTGCCATTCTTGGTTCAGTTTGCATGTTGCACAGTTGGCCACGTGTGTTGTGCAGAGTGTCTTTTTACATCCTTTTCCTGTGTATTTGGATTAGTTTGGACTTGGGAGTTGCCCGTCCAAGTCCATCAAATTGACGTTCCTGTGTCGCTGGGTGAATATTTCATAATCAGCGGGCAATGGTCGGAAAACGCAATAATAATCTGACAAATAAGGGCCACAGTTTTATACTTGGAATGTTGCTTGAGTGGCCTTGATCTTTTGCCCGTCCAGAGGAGCTAGTACCTCGCAAGACAAGCAAGTCGTCATTCAATGGTGAAAAGACACGCTGAAAATCCGGTCAGCTAGTTTGTTTAATTTAATTTAATTCTAATTTAATTTAATGCTAATTTGTTACTACTAGTAAGGCACTTGTTACTACTAGTAAGGCACTTGTTCCTAGAAGCTTAAATAGTCGCATAACATCACATATCATATCAGAAACTGCTTAGACGCACAGTTGTAGATGCCCCACGTGCATACTGTGCAGCAGGCCAGCATCGTTGTCTTTATTTGGATTGCCTGAGGGTCCATTTTCAAACATTTTCAAACTTTACATAAGGGTCCATTTTGCTTGTTATGCAGAAAGAAATGGGTGAGTTGAGTCTGCGGTTGTTCCACAATAAGTGAGGGTCAGAGTATGTCAGAGTCCAGATCGGCTCGGCCGTCATCCAAGATAATGGAACTGATGTTGGGCATTTGATTCAAAAAGGGAACCTGGGACGTGCGAAGTTGTACTCGCCGACATGATGTGGTAGCAAGAGAGATGTCTCCCAAAAGGTTGAACTCTGATTTATTGTTATTGTTATTATTTTTTGAAGGGGGGTGTAGGCCGAGAAGAGGTAGTAGCTAGAGGTAGCTAGTAGAAGAGGTAGCGAGTAGCTGCTTAATCTACTACCCAGGACGCAGGATAGCTCATGCTTCTTCAAGGAAGCCTCCCCCGCCGCCCTAAAGGGGGCGGGGGGGGAGCTTCCTTGAAGCGCTCGCACTATTTGGTTCCTAGATCTTTTGAGGATACTTGAGTGTTTTCATTCTTCTTGACAGGGCGGATATGCGATGGGAGAGGCTTCTGCTGTGAGGCAACCTACTACAGCCATGAAGGACATGCCATTTCTTTGCAAAGATGCTGTACCAGAGCTTTTCGTAAAATGAGCGTTCCAGCTTCCTGGCAGCACCCGCCATTTTGCTGCCTCCTATTTCGACCTTTCGAAACTCGATATTAAGAGCCCCTGGCCCAAAGAGAACATTTCAGACAACAATGGGGCAACCTGTTTCTTTGCTTCTCAGGAGTGTGAAGAGTGCCGTCCGCTTCGCGAACTCTTGGCTTCTTGCGGCGACTTCAAGACCTTCATGGAGGTGAGTTCTTTGTTGGACATAAAAAAGCATGGCTACAAAGCTACGGGTGGTCTATTTGAACAAGAGTTGCTCTTGAATCTTGAACAGTATCAAACTGCTCCCAAGCTTCCAATCTTATTCGTGGCTGCCTGCCAAGCATATCCTGAAAGGCATGTCCGGGACATAGAGAGCGTTCTTTGTGTCCAAGCTCGGGGCAACAGTTTTTACTCATATTTGAATCTCAAGAGCAGAATGCAGTTGGTGTTCAATCTCTGGGGCTGGGAGTGGTGCGCAGTTTGTCCACGGCGCTCCAAAGCGGCAATTCCATCCTGGAATCCTGCGTGCTGTCTGGCACTTTGGGCGCTGTTTGCGATGGGAGTGGTGCGCAACCTGTTTAGGGCCTTCAGGGCTTTAAAGCCGGAATTCATCTAGGAGCCCTGCCTGCTGTCTGGAACTTTGGGTGCTGTTTGGGCCAATCCTTGTGTGCTGGGCAGGGCAGACAAGCAAACATTTTGGAGATATTGTGAGACTATAGTTTTGGTGGTAGTGCTCAGCGTCCCCACCTTGGAACCTGGCTGGTGTTGATCTGTTTGCACCTTAGACTTTGAGGCCGACCCAGCGCTGTCATTAAACATGGGCACAGTTGGGCTTCAATTTCTGGAGCTGCCGGCGTCCCAAATCCGGAATTCCTCCCTAGCCCCGGCGCTGTTGTCTGACCCTGGAACGTTGGAACCCTGTGTCTGGCGGGGCGTTTCTGCAACTGCAACAGCTTCTGCACTTGTTTGTGCAGCAAGACCGCAGGTAGTTGCGCGTACCTCGCAGCAAGGTTTCCGCACCGGCAACAGCTTTTGCACTTGTGGTGTGCCTTTTGCCTCCGTTGCAGAGCTTCCTTTCTGCACACCGATGCCAAAGTTAAACGCGCCGCAGTGCCACAGGCAGTTGCATGCCGTGTGCTTGGCAGTATTTCCTATATTTCCTCGCTGACACCAGCTGTTCCACTTGTAGCGTTCTATGTGCATGTTCCCCACAGAGGCGGCTGCGAGTACTTAGCAGGATGCCTCGTCTATGTTGTACGCGCAGCAAGACCGCAGGCATTTGCGCGTACCTCACAGCACAGTTTCTGCACCGGCAGCAGCTTTTGCACTTAGTGGTGCGCCTTTTGCCCGGCGCTGGGCTTTGCGCCAAGTTTAGATGCGCCGCAAGGCCACAGGCAGTTGCGTGTCCTGGGCAGGACGTTTCTGCGACCCGACAGCTTGTTCGCTCGTAGTGCGCCATTTGTCGCTGCTATTCTTTGTGGTGTGCCTCCTCCATTGCGGAGCGTTCATTCTACACACCAGAGTTCTTTGCGCAGCAATGCCACAGGCTTGTGTGTACGTAGCAGGGCATTGCTTGGACGGCAACAGCTTTTTGCACTTGTGTCACTTGTGGTGTGCTTCCTGCCTTGGTTGCGAAGCAGCCTTTCTGCGCACAACCAAATTATCCCATGTACTCAGCAGGGTGTTTGCGCACTGGCAAACATTTTTCTATATTCTTGTGGTGTGCTCTGTGGCCCCATTGCAAAAATCATGTTTTTTTGCGCAGCAAGGCAATAGGCAGTTGCGCATAGCAGGATGTTTCCGTGCTGTTGCACTTGTGCTGTGCTTTCAGTTCCTGTTGCAATGCAATCCTCAGTAGGACCAATGGCGCGGCAGGTGTTTGTACGTGCATAGCAACATGTAACATGCATTTGTGCTGGGAACGGCGTTTTGGTTCTGATGCACTTTTTTCCTGCCTGTTCCGGACCCCAGTTCCTGCTCCCGTTTTTGTTCCCCAGTTCCTCATCTCCAGTTCTCTTTGCATTTTGCAAATTGATTGGGGTTGCATTAGCAGCTCATAGTTGGAGTGGTTGAAAATGTTCCAGTGAATTGAGTTGCTACCGGCTGTTGGGTTGCAAAGCTGGGTTAATCCCAGATGCTCGGAACTTACGCTTTTGCCGCAACCAGTTATGTTCCTTTGCAGTGCGAACTGCTGTAAGAGATGTGTTCAGTAGAAAATGTCTGCGCGGACGTTGTTGCCAGGCCTACCTGAACCAGCACAGCCAAGAGGTGAGGATGGAGGACAGCTGCAGGCTGATTCTTACTTATTCTTGATTCCTGATCCAGCAAGATTGGCTCAGCACCTCTAGAGCCCACTTTGCAACTTTGTTCGGCTTGGCGGCAACTCCACATTTCTTGAGGGGCCCCGTGAAAGAAAACGTTGTTTGGAACGATATTACGTTTATCATGTTTCTACATCTCTATATCAAACTAATGGAGAATTATCCCGGCAAGAGACCTCAAACAGTGTGTGTGAGGTCTAGAAGTGTGGCGTCAGAAAGTCTAGGGATCTAGACGCATTGGGGTCCAGAGAGGTGATGGTGGTGTTGAAGGTGGAGATCGCGGTGACGGTGGTGGTGAGTGAGTGAGTGAGTGAGTGATTGAGTGATTGAGTGATTGAGTGATTGAGTGATTGAGTGATTGAGTGATTGAATGACTGACTGGTTGAATGATTGAATGAAATGAAATGAAATGAAGAATGAAGACTGACATGAAAAGAAGAATGAATGAAATAATGAATGAATGAAAGAATGAAGTGAAATGAAATGAAATGAAATGAAGAGAAACGAAAAGAAAAGAAATGAAATGAATGGAATGAACGAATGAACGATTGAATGAATGAATGAATGGAATGAATGAATGAATGGATGAGTTAATGAATGGAATGAATGGACTTTTGAATGAATGAAACGAAACGAAACGAAACGAAACGAAATGAAATGAAATGAAATGAATGAAAGGAACGCAAGGAATGAAATGAATGAACTGAATGAAACGAAATGAGTTGAGTTGAATTGAAGTGACGTGAATTGAACAGAACTGAACTGAATGAATGAGTG